AAAACCAAAAAAAAAAAAAAAAAAAAAAAAGATCTAATAGATCCATTGTGAAATGTCATCCTCTACATAGTTATGAAATCATGAATTAATATCCCAAATGAAGCTAAAATAATTTGCAATTTATATATCAATACCTGAGATTATATACATAGAAATACACATATACACACCAAGTATAAAATAAATATGCACATATGTGTGTATATGTACAGAAATGCATGCAGGGATATGTATATGAAACCACTTATGCATCCAAGTATTCTTCTTAATACTTTCAAATGAACCATGTACATGTTTTGCAAATTACTTTTAAAATATGAGTTTTAAGTAATTTATATGAATATTTTGCTATTACTTTTATATTTGTGGAGAATTCTGTCTTGTGATCATTCAAAATCACTTTACCTGTGTTCTCACATATAGATCTACTGAACTTTTATGGTGAACCATAAATAATAATGAAAGATATGTTGAAGAAACATATACCATTAAAATAATAATGAAAGATTTATTATTTCAAGATGTTGTACATAATTTCAATACTATAATTTAAATTATTACATATGAAACTTCACATATGTATAATGTGTATATGAAAATTTTAGTATTGATCTATCAGGTCACATGTAACTCTGCATCATCCCTTGTAATTTGATTGCACATCATTGAATTGATTGAGCTTTCTAGAGAGTGCTGACACCTCTGTGTGTACCTAGAAAACTTCCCTTTACTTTGATTTGGCCCTCACAGGAGCACAATCCACAGCATCCCCTTCTGTAGTACAGTTGCTGCAAAGGCAGATGATAAGCTCCCTTCTTGAAGAGCTCCCCCAGCTCCTACAGGCCTCCAAATTGCTCACTGCTTCTTTTCTCTCTTCTTGTACTCATCCTGATATGAGATGTTTTGACCCAACCTCATCTTTACCCACTTGGGCTGAGAATTCTGATCATCAATCATCACCTTATATTATTAAAGGGGATAAAATAATTAGTTTCTTCCCACAATAAGTAAATGTTATAGAAGCAGATGCATTGAGTATCTCTCTGCACCTAGTTGGCTCCCTGTTTTGAACAGCCAGTGAATGCTTATTTTATTGGGTTTTTAATTATTTTGGGAAGTAATTTTATAGTTTATCCACTCTTGGAGTTGGTCTTCAGCAAGGAAGTTGTTTCAGTTTTCACATAATTTTTCATTACCACATCACTTAGAGTTTTCACAGCAAGAGCTCTAAATGTATTAATATATTATTTTTAAAAATTTGTTTTAAAAACTATGTTTATTTGCTATTTGCATAGTAGTCTAACCTTCTAAAGAACTTGTTTCAGTGTCTATGCTCAAAATATGGTGGTATAAATGCCAAAGTAGCTAGTGTAGAGATGGGAATACCTAATTAAATTTGGTTTTGTCTTGAATTTATTGATATCTTCTAGTTTGTGGCTTTCTCTTTTTGCCCATAATGATGTACAGAAATTACTAAATTTCATGAAATCTGATTTATCAGTTTTTTTCTGATTGTGTTTTTGTCTCTTTCTAGCTTGTGTTTACATAGAAGTATTGCTTTTGCCCTAATTGTGACTACCCACACATGGGACACAGGTAGCATAATATTGAGAATGAGCACTTCCACAAACTTCTCATTTCTTGAATTCACACTACCGATCATAATATCTTCTTTCTCTTCTTCCTAGGTATGAGCTTGGATATACAGATTAACATTCAGGTTCCAGATGCAGAAGGGGTACTGGTGGAGTGTACTTCAGGAAGTTTGATCCCACCTGCTGAGATGATATGGAGAGACAGCAAGGGGAATGTAATTCCACACTCACCAAAATTTGACTCTCAGGATGGATTATTGTATTTGAAGAGCAGCATTCTTCTGAAGAACAGAACACATGGTCCAATTACTTGTTCCATTTACAATGTAACTACTAATCAAGAGAAAAAGAGAAGCATTGTCCTCTCAGGTAAGTTCTTATGACTTGGTTCTATCAATGATGAATTTTTTTATTCAAGAATTCAAATTAAGAAGAGAATTGAATGAAATAATAACTGTGAGGTTATGTTAAAAGCTACAAACTGCTGTAGAGCTGCCCTATTTGAGTATCTGGAAATCAGAAAAATACTGAATGTTAAGGGGAATATTTTAAAGGAAGGTATTGGGGCTGGAGAGAAGTCTCAGAGATTAAGAGCACTTGTTGTCCTTGAGGGCTTGTTTGAGTCCTAGCACCTATACTGGATGGCTCACAACCACCTGTAACTCCAGCTCTATGGGATCCAGTGCCCTTTTCTATATACCACATTTTCCTGCAGGCATGTGCACATGCACACTCACAAACATCCACTCTCACTCACACATAGAAAATAAATCTTAAATGAGATATTGAAATAATTTGAAAATGAGCTCCCATTCTGGGTTGCATGTTAAGGATTCAAAAGCTATATGAATTCCACATAAATTTCTAGATTTCTATTTCTAGATTTGTGCCCTTGAATATTGTTTTTCCTTTAAAATTATTGTTTTGTCTCCTCTGGAAAATAGCATATATAACTTCTGAGGTGAAAGGAAGGTTAGCATCTTTCTGTAGATGCCTTTGCAGATAATAGGAGTCAAGACAATGGGGAAAGGACATAGTCTAAATACAAAAACAAAGTACCAGGAAGCATGAAAGAGATGATAGGGGTATGAAAGGCATCGAAACAAGAAGATTACAAAGTGAGAACCAGGAAACAGCCTCCAGTCTCATCCCAGATTTTGGAAAGAGAAGTAAAGATAAAGCTTCAACCACAGTCAAGCCTGGCAGCCATATGACAGTCTGGTGAATATGCCTGTATGTTCTCATGAGTCCAGTTGCAGGGGATTTGATGTAATAGTGACTCCTCTTGCATGACAAAACAGTATTGGCAAAAAATCCTCTGTGTCTCAGAGCAGTGGACTCTGAGCTAGCAATTCTACCCTTCCTGTGTTACCCTCCATGGTGTCTGCCTTATCAGTGCCCCCGAAACCAAGGACCAAGGCAACCTTGGAATAAACCATCTGAAATCATGACCCAAAATAAGGCATTCGTCCTTTAAACATTTTTCAAAGACATTTCTTATAGTAATAAAAGTGTCTAATGCAACCTGTAAGTAAAGAGGCAGGATTATAAAACTTAATTATCTATGCAAGAGTGCTGTTGAAGAAGGAAATGTGTGCTTAAAGGCTGTACTTTATTCTGTTCTTTGTACTATAGATGTCGATGAAGGCTGTTAGTTAATAAAACTGGACTCAGAGGAAGAACAAGATTTGGAAGTTATTAGTCCCATAATAGGACAGAATTGGATGAAAGAATAATCATGATATTTTATCTTGTTAGTAAGGGAAGCAAGATGGATAAGCAGTTAGAAAACCTTTGGACAGTCGCCTTTAATCCCAGCACTCGGGAAACAGTCAGGCTGATCTCTGTGAGTTTGAGGCCAGCTTGATCCACAAAGTCAGTTCCAGGAAAGGCTCCAAGGCTACACATAGAAACCCTGTCTCAAAAAAAAAAAAGAAAGAAAGAAAAAAGAAAACCTTTGAACATTAATTCAGTTCTTGAGACTCATATGGTCAAAGGAAGAAGAACCTGATACTAAAACTGGGGTCAAACTCTGTGCCAAGGAACCACTTAAAACATCTAAGTTAATAGAGAAAAACATTGGGAAAAGAGGCAAAGAGACCCTGTGATTCCTCAAATCAATCTTCGGGAACCTAAAGTGAGATTACAGTTTTAGCTGATAGTCAAAGATATGTCCATTCAGTTTTGGTGAGTATCTTTGTGTGAGGGTTCCTGGTATGCAATTTGCATCCTTCAAAACAAATAGCATGCAGAGTGTCCCATGTACAGTTTTTGGAATTTAATATGAGCTACTGTGCACAAAATTTCCAGTTGTACAATTTCTTCCGTGCTAATAAGAACCCTGCAAGTAAGAGCACATCATTATGGCTAAAATAAGCCCCAGGTAAAAGCTAAGAATTCCTGGTCAAGGTGTTGTAGCCCACTACCACCACTGACCCATCATTGTTTGGATTTCAGTTTTATCCTACAAGGGAGTCTGACAAGTTGCTAGATCTGTGTGAAATATCTATGTAGGGGAGACAAGTTTCCCCTTGTACTAAAATCTTTTCCTTCTCCCTGTATGAAATTCCAGAAGACATTCTCATTTCTTTGGGGGTACATTGTTTCAATAGTGTGATAGTCAGATTGAGAGACACAAATGTCTCTAAAAAGTAAGAATATTTAGGAGAAAAATTTGATTAATTGTCTTACCCACCTGTGCATTCTGTGAACTGCAATAGAAACCAGCAGGGCATGATATGCCATAGGTATAACAGTAGCATGAATGTTATGGGAAACCAATCACTTTCTAATTTGATTTAAAGCTTGCTCCGCAGGAAGAACTATGTACCTGGTATTGGTAAGTCATAAGGGCCCCAGAATTGAAACTACTATTATTTTTCTAAATGGACATAGTATCAAACTACCTTTTGAATCGGAATTTCTCTACCCACAGACTAGTGCAGCTTTAAGATCATTTCAGGGGAGTTTCTGTGCATTGGATATTGGTTAACACAGGAACTCACAATTGGACAAAATGTAAAGAATAGGTGTTTGTGGAGTGCTCAACCACAAATGGTACATCTAAGCCAAATAGTGTTACCCACATATTTGGGGATTGGTAGACATAAACAGAGCACTGGAATCTGAACTAGACAGGGAGAATATAGTGATCCTAGCACTTTGTATGCTGGTCCTGGTATTCTCAGGCCCTGCTCAAGTAACCTACTTTGCAGAGAAGAGACTGAAGAAATCAAGCAATCTACTACACCTCATCTCAGGGATTTCTCTCTCTCTACTTTCCAGCAACAAACCACATGTAGCAGAAAGATAGGTCCAGATGCTGAGAAATCAGCAGTCCTCAGTTCCTATTCTTGAATGGGCTCTGACCATCATGATGCTGAATTCAGAATTTCCTTCTGCCTCAGTGTTTCCATATTTGACCTTTATCCTCTTCATAGCTGCTTCAGTGGCCTTCTTCTTTCCAGGCACTGTAGCAAGGGTCCCCAGACTTCTTGAATATTTAATCTTCCTTCACTTTAGGTACCTAGATTATCTCAGTTTCAAATAATAACCAACTCACAAGATGGCCAAGAAAGAGAAGTTGGAGGTGGGACAGGGGCCAGATATATTCTTCAAAAGCATGTCCATTACTACCTACTTTATCCGCTCAGTCCCATTGATTAATATTTTTGTTGTTTTCAAAAAATTCCATCAAATTATGAGTCCATCAATGGATTAATCCACTGACAATGTCGGAGCCCTCATGATCCAGACACTCCTCAGTGAATGGATCTGTCAACTGAGGACTAAGCCTGTAATGTGAATCTCTTAATTGGAAATGCATATCCAATTTATAACACCAAGTGCTTCTGTTCTCTTTCAGATGTCCTCTTCAAACCAGAGTATATGTCATTGATGTCAAACAGACCTTCATGTCCTGTCATATATTTAAGCATTATATTTGTTCTTCATTGTCTCAGAGGAATTCTTGTTTTTTGTTGTCTCAGATGGAGAAAAAAAATTGTAAAAGGTAAAGAGTTCTGAAACCATTTCTTTTTGAAACCCAATACTCAGATGTGATGCATACAAAATTATTTACCCCAGAACTTTAGTGCATCCCAATACTCTTTGTCAAAGGAGGTTTCAAAGTCTTCAGAGATCTTCAGGTTAAGCTGCCACCCTTCCTCCTTGTGTGTTTCTTCAGGGCTAGCGAGAGCTATCATCACCATTCCTCTCAAGGTCTCAGGATTCCTTCAGAGGCATCGTTAATGATTTCCTTTCACTGTGGTGTTTGTGGAATTGGAATCATAATAGACGTTTTCTCTTCCACGAGTCCTTTCAGCTTTTAGAGATATTGCTGGAAACTGTCAGGCACCAGATTGGAGAAAGAGATGAGTGACTGGAACTCAGGCCTGGATAGCCTTGCTGTCTAGGCCCTAGGCCCTGGGGCACATCCCTGACACTCCCCCACCCATTACACACACCCACAGCAGTCTGTCAGCAGCATTCTCCCCTTCCAATCACCCCCACACCCTACACCCCCCACCCCTGGGGCATCAGCAACCCCTGGAGGCACTGGCTCCACCTGCACCAATTGGAGGAAGAGCCACTCAGGGACACAGGCTCCACCTGCAAATCCTACAACCTTTAGGCACTTAAGCATTTAGACAAGGCTGTAGTTAATTAGGTTCTACAGCATCCAAGTCATATTTTCAGGCTGCACAGTCACAAGAAAAGTGAGAAGATATTTATTATTTGATTTTGTTTTTAAACCTGCTCTGTCTTCATTCTAAATGACCATAAATCTTAGCTTCACCCAATCCTAAATTCTGTCTTCACTAAAAATTCCCAACTGTAATCCTAACCCTAGCCCTAAAAACCTTGCTTATGAAGCTTTAGCCCTGACATAGGTTAAATGAACAAATGGATACGGCACTGAGACTTTCAAGACACTACCTATATTCAGTATTTCTCTTGTTATTCCAATGCATTCTCAAAGTCCTAGCCACCTAAGTCTTCTTACTGACTCTTTTTCAGGTTTGAATAAAATGAGGTTTTCCTATGAGCTTACCTGGGAGTGTCTACCCTTAGTTTTGTATATTGGCTTCCTCCCTCTCTATTTGAATTTCAGGAGCAGAGGTGAGTGCAACTAGACTGGGATCTGTCATTTCACCTTGCCTTTGCCCAGTGCCTTCTCATCTTGGCACTATGTAGACAAAGCTGAGTAGTCTTTGTTGCAGAAGTAGCAGGCAGAGTTTCAGTGACATCTCGGTGGCTTCACATGCTGTCCTTAGAAGTATAATTTTCTCAAATTTTAGGCTTCTATCATGGCTGCTGATATTTTCATACACATAGTTACTGCTGCTTGTCTAGCAATGAAAAGATTTATTTCTCCAAGTCTGGCTTCCATTCAGTCCCACATGCACAGGCATTCTTTTACAAAGCACATTTTTAATGTTACCTATCACTTATGTCATTTGCACTCAGCCAACAATTCATAAATAGTTAAAAAAAACTTTTGGTTTAGAGATTCCCTCTGATAATTAATGGGAAAAAAGTATAATATTTTTTTGTTTCATGTTCCTTTTCTGAGACTGCTGAAAGCAAATGTTTGATCGTCTTTGGTGTGTATTTACAAGATATTTGAAAGTATGGACATACTGCAATATACACTGTATATAGGATAATATCTGAGAATTTAGATAAGAACTTCATTTCCTTGTGGATATTGGGAAAAAGTATTTTATAAAAAAAACATTAAAGTAAGCTGAAAGAATTAATTACTATAAGGGATTTTCACTCATCCATAAGACTAAATTAAATCAGACATCAGATATAGATATACCTCTTCTGATTTACCATATATTTCAGAATGGGTGTCAATACAACTCATTCCATCTATTTCACTAAAAATCATAAAAACAACTCCTAAACAAATTAACTCAAAGGAAATTTCTCAAAGAGTCAATGAAAAAATAGCAAAGTGTATAAAGATATGGAAGGTATAATTAACTTCCAGTATTAGAGTGTTGTGTGATATTTTGTTTGTGTTCTGACAGATAAAGCTTGCTTGGAGTCAGAGGGTGGAGTTAGCCACTAGTTAACTATAGAGGTTTGGAGAACTGTAGAGAGAGGTACAGGAAGTGGTAAGTTGGGACTGAGACAGGATCTCAGCCCTTTTGGTCAGAGGAACAGAAGAAGTAGGACATCCCCGGTGGCTGCTCCCCTGCTTCTCTGATCTGTCAGGTTTTTACCCTATTATGTGATGCCTGGTTTTTAATTAATAAGATAATTAGATTTACCTATCACTATGAAATACACTGAATGTCCTAAACCAGTATTTCTGATTACAATACATCTTCCCATCCAACACTTACACAACTATGTAATTTTAAAGTTATTTTGGCCACCAAGAAAGCAAGAACAATACTTTGCATAATAGAAAATATAAATATATATGAATATTTTCTCCCTATCTCCCTCCCCTCATCCATCTATTTTTATGGTTTTGTTGGGATCTTGATACCCTGGTTTTAAAGTCCACATCAGGATTAAATGGACTAATTCTAATTCTTAGAACCCTCATAAAGGAGGAGTATAATAGAGATATCCAAATTCATCTGAGGAGCCCAAAGTAGTGAACACTGAAATAGTCTGTAAAAAAAATTACCAAGTAAAACAGTATGTCCCATGGAATACTATGAAGAGTAGAATTCAGGGACTGGAGAGATGGCTCATTGGTCAAGAGCACTTGCTTCACTTGAAAAGGATCTGGATTCTACTTCAGCATCTACATGGCAGCCCCAAACTCACTATAATTACAATTTTAGGAGTTCTGAAGACCTCTTATGGTCTCTAGCATTTATACACATAAAATAAAAAATGGGAAAATTTTTGCAATAATGGATCGAATTTAGAAATTGCTTCTCCTTAGCAAGACTGCAGCTGTATGAATTCCATGCAAAATGAAGACAAAGGCAATTGATGGTCTCTCCCCTGGCATATTGAGGGGTAGTTGTCAGAGTTATCAAAATTAGCAATGATTGTCTGGACTTTCTTTATATATATTAAGCATATGAAATATATCTTTTGCATTTAAAAATAGAAGAATGAACTTAAAAGGTCAATAGACAATGAAAAACTGTAATAAAATATGATAATATTTCAAAAGACCAAGTAGAACATCTATATAGATTTAATCATAGCTGAAATTTAAGCAACAACTCAGTGCAGACATTAAACAGGAGAACAAACATAATGAAAAAGAACTGGACTACGTATATCAGGTAAGATGCAGTGTGTACATATCTATCACATGTGGCATGGGCCCAGATTGTGCATCAGTTGGTCCTCATCAGAGACTCTCCTATATTTAGTAGATGGCAATCCATACAGAGCTCAAGGTACAGAGCATAAAAGACATCTGGATGGCTATTCCTAAGCTGGTTATTAAATCCCGCCTTCCTCCAAAGGCTCATGGATTATTGCAGAAGACAAGAAAAAAGGTGGTGGATGACTACAAGGAAACAGTGTTTTCCATATGCAGCAGGGCAATTAGACATAGGAACTCATAGCACTTGAGATGACATGCACAAGACCTGTGCAGACTCAGGCCAGACAACTCCATCATGTATAGGCAGGTTGTGCATGAAATCACACCCCTAGTTATAGAGGTATTGGTAGCTGATAATTTCTGGGAGAGGGAGAGTCAATTTTCTTTAAGGCTGTGGCTTCTGGTATACTGACTGCCTCCAATGAAGGACACACATCCAGTAATACAAAGGCAGCACAAGCTGTACATGTGGTGTGTGTGTGTGTGTGTGTGTGTGTGTGTGTGTGTGTGTGTGCATTCACATGTGCACATACATCTCTCTGTGAAAGTACTTTTGTTTTTCATAATAAATATCTGTAGGACACCATAATGTCCTCTGTTAGAATGTTCCTTATGGTCTGAAATATTCTTATTATTGCATCAAATGCTTCCTTTTCTCCTTTGTTTAATTCTTTTATATTTTTTGATGACTACTGATCTCAGCTTTCTAATCTAATTTCTACTTCTTACTGTATTTTTCACCTTGGCTTGTTAAGAATTTCTAACACAAACTCAAATGTAGTAATTACAACTATAATAACCTATCCTTTGCATTCTTAATTTCATGTATCACATTTCAATATACCTATCCATTTATTACTTACATGGATTGACTTTGAACTCTCAAATGTTACGATCATATTCTTGGTATGCTGCATACTAGAATCTGCTGTTCTACTGAGCTGCAATGGCAGACAATGTTGATTTAACCAACTGCTCATTAGACCAATGTATTTCTTTGTGCTTTTCATGCAACATCTTGCTTTGGAAACTCTGAACCCAAAGAATCAAAATAAACAAGAGGACGTTCTCAACTATCTGTGGATGAATGAGTAAGAATAACAACATCTTACAATTTATATGCATGGCTCAAACTAAACTACACAAAACCTTTGACACCCTTAAAACTGTAAAGTTATGTCATAAAACCTTGCATTGGTGGCCTAACCTTTGTCCCCCAATTGAAGTCTACTCAAAGCCTCTTTTTCTTCTTTCTTGTTGACTAAGAGCCTGTGATCTGGCTTCTTAATTTATGCATATTTACCTCTCTCTGTTTTACTTATTTTAAACTCGGCTTAACATTTCTTTCTCTTTTTTTTTTCAGCTTCTATTTTGGACAATGCATACTCACTGTACAGTAATTGGCTGTGGGATGTATGCATAATCTTGGTTGTGATGATGGTATTTTTCACTGGGCTCATTTTGCTTCTACTTGGGACCCTAAACCATAAGTAAGTGAAGCAGTGGGAGTGGGAACACCAAGGATGAGTCTCCTGTCTCTCTACATGCATCCCCATAAATCTAATCTTCACTTGGTAAAACAAGAGGAAAATAGAGGCTTAGATTATTGCTATCTTTCTTTACTTCCATAAGCAGATGGGGGGGGGGTATTTTAGAATTCACATAGGCCTTGCTAACTGTTCATTAGATTAGCATGTAGGCTTGGCTGTGGGAGACCATCTTTATTAGGTTAGTTGAGATGGGAAGATTGAGACCTTAACTGTTTCTCCTTTCATACTTTCTGTGATATTAACCTCAAATATGAGGGGCTCTATCAGCCATCTCCACCACAGTGCCATGTTACCATGTTGAGCTTTGCCCCCGGATAAAGTCTAATTTCTCACTTTTAATGCTGGATTCTCACTGAAAGCTGTTTTAAGGAAGCATCTTCTATAACTTACCAAGACTAAATTAACCCCACAGATTTTTCATTTATCCACCTACTATATCTAACTCTCTTTGAACTCTTACAAGGACATTCAGTAAAGCAGACTTAGAAAAGGTCTCCAGGAGTGCCAAGAAAGAAAATAGACATCCAAAGTGATTTAAGCCTATTAAAATAGAAAGAATCTTGCTTTTATTCTTTGGGTTCTTAGTTTCATCAATAAAGTAATTTAAACACAGACAAGAAGGAAAACTGTGGTGCAATTTTATTAATTTAAGAGAAAAACAACAGGACCAGTTCAGTTTATGTATTTGCTATTACTAGGAGTCTAAGCTGGGCTCTTCCTTGCAGATTCCTGGGACATTCCCTTGTGCCAGGTTTTTGCCTGACCCCAAAACATAGCCATTTTCAGTAGTCTCTTTCATTATTCTCATTTGTCCCCCCATAACTTCATATTTCACGTTTATATCCCCACTCTATGATGATATTTTATTTGTGCTGAAATGTGATTTTATTGGCATGTTAATAAAGTTGACTGCAGAACAGAGCTAAGAGCAAGCCATTAAGCAGAAGTCTGGTAGTTGTAGCACACGCCCTTAATCTGATCACATGGTAGGCAAAGTCTCTGTGTGTTCAAGGACACAGCCAGCATGGTGACACATGTCTTTAATCCCAGTACCAACCATAGAGACCTGGAGGTCTGTATAGACAGACAGTGACAAAGAAGTCGTGTGGTTGGGTTTAGAACCAATGAGAAGGCAGAACAGAAAGGCAGTAAAAAGACAGGACACAGGAAGAAGATCTCTCTCTCAGGGGAAGGACAGCAGCAAGTGGTAAGACAAGGTGGTCTTAGCTCTTGGCTACTGCTCAATTTCTGGGCTTTTAACTCTTTATTTGGCTCTGTTTGTCTTATTTAATAAGACCATTTAGAATTACATCTATGTTTGGCACCCAATGTGGGGCAAGAATTCATTAAAAACCTTTGGTAGTTATGGGCACAACTCAGTCCAGTTCAAACTAGCTTGGCCCCAACTTGGCCAGAGTTTACAGGCCCTAGGCCCAGCCGGGGCTACCAGTCTGGCTGCGTGCAGTTAGAGCTGCACTCAACCATAGCTGCTTGTGGCTGAATCACTAACTCACGTGGTCAGAACTTAAGGTAGCTGGAGCTCAGGCCAAATTGGCTCAAGTGGGAACACATGGCTGGATTTCAGCTTTTAGCCAGAATGTGTGGCTACTCTCTCTCTCTCTCTCTCTCTCTCTCTCTCTCTCTCTCTCTCTGAGCAACCACACTAGGTAGCTGTTTTGAAATTCCCTCAGATTTCTACTGTTCTATGCAGACTTGGTAAGTCAATTAAAATATCAGATATATCAGATATTTTAAAGGGAAAAATTACTTAAAAAAAACAAATTTTTTTCCACATTTAAAAATGGATATTATATGTACAATAGAAGGTAATTAGTCTATGTTTGATAAAAACTTTAGGCAGTCTGAAAATGGAACAATTATATGAGAAGATTAATGTTGATGGGATGTACATTATGCCAATTATGCATATTATTACTTTACTTGTCCTTATTTTACAATTTAAAAAGATAGTAAATTTAAGGGCTAAGTTAAAAGATTTAGAAAAACCCATCAAAATGAGTTATAAAGAAATTCAGACTCAGACAGAAGAATTTAAGTGTGAAATTATTTCAGGATTGGATTATAAGGTTATGGAAAGAAGCCTGTTTCCAAACAATCAAACTTAATTTATCTAGTAACTGTACAGCAGCTACCTGGTCAAGTGAATGTACAAAATAATTGGACTCCTATTGACATGTTAGATTTAAGAAGGTTTAAGGAGGCAATAGTATCTTATGGCATGCATTCCCCATTTGTAAAGCAAATGTTAAACTCCTGGTCAACTTGTAATAGGATTATTCCTCAGGACTGGAAAGAGCTGGTAAATGCTGTCCTAGAACCCAGAGCACAACTGCAGTGGTGAATGTAGTTCAGAGATAAGGCTAAAACCATAGAAAGTCAGGGGAGGGCTAGAGATGTGAAAATCTCCCAGGATCAGCTTCTTGGAGAAGGCCAATATGCTGAAATACAAAGACAAGGTTTATATGATAACCAAACCCTAATTCTATGTTGAATGGCAGCTTTGAAGTCAGGGGACAGAATTGAGGAAGCAGGAAAGAAAACTGAGTCATTCACAAAAGTTATACAGGGCCCAAAAGAATCCTTCACAGATTTCTTACAAAGATTGTTTTCAGCAGTAAATAGAATGGTCCTGAATTCAGAAGCTACCCAGATAATAATAGAATCTTTGGCTTTTGAGAATGTGAATGCAGCATGCAAGAAAATAATCAGGCCATTAAAGCCAAGATCTGCATCCTTGGAAGATTGGATTAGAGACATTATTAATGTTGAATCTCATGGCTATGATGATATGTGGATAGGAGAAGCAATTTCAAGAGGTTTGGGGAATGTTAGATGTTTTGGATGTGGAAAGCAAGGACATTTGAAAAGGGACTGTAAACAGGTCATTCCTAGAAATAATGTTTCTTCAAGGAACAATGGCAACAGAATGCCCCTTCCTTCTGGAGTATGCAGAAGGTGTGGTAAGGGTAAACATTGGACCAACAAATGTGGATCAACAAGGGACAGAAAAGGTAATCCTTTGTCTCCAACAGGAAACTCCCAGAGTGGCCTCAGGCAGGCCCCCACAGCAAATCCAGTTCAGACCTTTCCTGCCATCATAGAAGAAACACCTACTCAAAGCAATTAAATAACCAAATGCCTATTGGAATAAACCAGGCTGCTTGGGGTGATGGAACAGCTGAGTCAGAGAGAATAGAAAATTCAGGGGAAACCATAAAGAAAGGTTTTTTTTTGGCAAACTTCTATAAATGAACAAAGGCCAAAATTAACAATAAGAATAAATAATATTTTGTCGTCTGGTCTGATAGACACAGGTGCTGACGTGACCATAATTGCACCAGAATTTTGGCATCCAACTTGGCCTCTTCAGGGGGTAACGTTGAGCTGTTAGGGATTGGAACATTCTCTCCAGTGAAACAAAGTGCAAGATGACTCAAATATATAGGTCCAGAAGGACAGAGAGGAAAATTAAAACCATATGTGGCTAACATAGCTGTGAACTTATGGGGTTGAGACCTGTTACAACAATGCAATACTCAGATTATCATCCCTCCAACCTCAAAAACAAATCATAAACTAAAACATGTTTCTGAGAGAAATATTAGAAGATATTATTCTAATGAGTGGTCACCAGCCATCCAGATTGTACAAGAATAGGGCACAACAACTGATGATCTCCCAAAGATACCAATAGCTCTACCTTTAAAATGGTTATCAGACAAGCCTGTATGGGCTCAGCAATGGCCTTTAACAACAGAGAAACTCCAGGCTTTAGAAGAGCTGGTACAAGAGCAGTTAAATGCTCAGCATATTGAAGAATCAACCAGCCCTTGGAATTCTGTATCTGTTATTAAAAGGAAATCTGGTAAATGGAGAATGGTAACAGACCTTAGAGCAATTAACAAAGTAATTCATCCAATGGGCTCTCTAGAGTCCATAATTCCTTTGCCTACTCTGATACCTAAAGGATGGCCTCTTATAGTTATTGATTTATAAGACTGTTTGTTGATGTAACCAACTGTCTTATTAAAACAAAACCAATGTAAAAGAGAAAGCCAAGATGTCAGAGCTCAGAGCTAAAAATCTTACCTCCTGTAGTGCTCCTAGCTTCCCTGAAAGACAGCAACTTCCTGTGTGTCTGTCTTTAAGTAGTCTTTCTGTTCTGTCTTCTCACTGGTTGTAAACCCAAACACATGACTGCCTCATCACTGCCTGTAAGTACCGGCCTCCAGGTATTAAAGGCGTATGTCTCCAATGTTGGCTGTATCCCTGAACACACAGAGATCTACCTAGCTCTTCTACCAAGTGCTGGGATTAAAGGCTGAGCCGCCGCCGCTGCCGCCGCCGCCGCCGCCCCCCCCCACCACCACCACCACCACCACGCTCTTGCTATGGCTCTAATAGCTCTGATCCCCGGGCAACTTTATTTATTAACATACAATTAAAATCACATTTCAGTACAAATAAAATGCCACCATAACTGTTTCTTTTCAATATCCCTACAAGAAAAAGACAAAGAAAGATTTGCCTTCACAGTGCCTACTTATAATAATTCTCAACCAGTTAAGAGATATCAATGGAGGGTCCTCCCACAGGGAATGTTGAATAGCCCAATACTGTGCCAATATTTTGTACAACAGCCATTGGAAATGATATGTAAAAAATTTCCTAAATCTATAATTTATCATATGGATGATATTTTACTAGCTGACTCAAATGCAGACACTTTAGAAAGAATGTTTGAAGAAGTAAAGAAAATTTTGCCTTGCTGGGGATTACAAATTGCTCCTGAAAAGATAAAGGGAGGAGAGTCTATTAATTACTTATAAAACAGGTCTACAAAAAATTAGACCCCATAAGGTGCAAATTAGGAGAGATCTATTGCGGACTATTAATGACTTTCAAAGATTATTTGGAGACATT